CCCCCCCATCTGCTTTCCTACCGCTGTTGCTCTCGAGGCAGCCTGAAACGCTGGAGCTGGGAGCAAGGGGAGGAGCAGGGCAGGGACCCTTTGGGGGGAGCGGGGGCCGTCTCCGAGTAAACGTCCAGCTATGACAGTGGCAAGCGCCTGTTCTGTTTGTGGGTTGTGCCCCCTCGCCCGGGCTGATCAGGGGGAGGGGTGGGGGGGGGCCGTGATGCAGCTGTTGCCATAGTGTCTGTGCTGCTCTTCGTTGCTATGGTGAGCCATGCATGTGTGCAGCCCCTGGTGCCAGCTTGGGAGGCCGAGCCCACAGCCCTTGTGCTGGGTGGCCCCAGCTGAAGGCACAGAGGGCTCCCTGTCCCCCCACCCATACTGTGCCGGGGAGGCCAAGCTGCCATGGTCCCCAGAGGTGGGTAGAGTCCCCGCTGCTCTGTGCACAAAGGCTTCACCCATGATAAAGCAGCCCCGGTGGGGTGCATGGTGCTGTGCCCCCAGCAGGACCCTGCTGCCATCGCCCTAAGGCCCTGCGCGCGCAGGCTGGAGGAGGGGGTAGCTCCCGGCTTGGTGCCTGCAGCTCTTCCTTCCTGGAGCTGAGCTGACAGCCCTGGCCAAGGCGCTAAGCAGAGGAGACAGGCGCTGACGCATGCACGTGACTTTATTGAAAGCAGGACTGTGCTCAGCACAAGGAAACGGGGCTTCCTCTCCCCACAGGCAGCTCAGCTGCCTTTGCTCCGACGCCCCAGCTCCGTCCGCCAAGGCTCAAGTCTCCCTCCAGCCTCGGGAGCGTGCATATGCAGCGCTTGGTTGTGCCTGGGGCCAGGTGCGGGGAGGCGTGCAGGAAAAGATGAGAGCTGGCTCTGCCTGCCCGCGGCAGCTGTGGTCCCAGAGCTGACAGCAATGCCGCGGCCCCGCGGGAAGGCCACTGCACATCTTGCACCTCTCCCTGGCAGCGGCTGGACCAGCAGCGCTTGGGCTCAGCAGTTGGTCATAGTCACGCCAGCGCAGGCCTTGGGTACACTTGGGTCTTCTCCCCGCTCTGGTACAAAAGCTCCAATGAGAGACTGACCCAAGGGGAGGGGGTCGAAACAGCCAGCGGCGCTGGGGGACAGACCCAGGCTGCTGGGAGATGCAGGTCCCTGGGTACCTGGGCGAAGCCACGTGCAGCCTGAGAGGCAGAGGGCAGCTGAGCCAGACCTCAGGCTGAGGAAGTGAGCAGCTGCAAGGCTCAGCCAGGAAACGCACCCAGCGCGTCTGGCAGCTCGGAGAGGAGTGAGCTGCAGCCTCCTCGGAGCCTGGGAGCAGCCCAGGGGTGGAGCAAACCCCTCCCCGGGTAAGGCTGGACGGTTGCTGGCCCTCCTGGGGGCAATGCCCGCTCCGTGCTGCTGCAGGGACCAGGCTTTGGCCGTGTCCCTGGGGAGGGGCAGGCAGGGTGCGGCACAGCCAGGTACCTCAGCCTCTGCTGGGATCCAATTCCCTGTGTGCCCGTTGTTGGGGACCCGGGTCCCTGTTGGCTCAAGGTACCGAGGATGTTCCTTACCCTGCAGCCGACTCAGGGCTTGCTGCGCTTGCCCTGGGTTTCAGCCCCTGTGCTGGTGGTGGCGGCTCTCTTGTTGCGGTGGTGCGGGAAGGTGGGCATAAGCTCGGGCTCGCAGGCTGGAGGGGGAGAGAGGAAAGGAGGCTCGAGCGGGGGGGGGGGCCACCAGCAGGGAGTCACTTACGCAAGGGCTTCTCCTTAAAGTAGGAGCTCTCCAGGCAGTCGCCCGCTGTCGCCCTGGGGAGGCAAAGAGACAGGTCAGCGGCTGAGCCTGGTGTCTCACCTGTCCCAGACACCCCTGGGCACGCCTGGGGGCTGCCAAGTGGGTACCCCACCCCTGCTACAGGGCAGCAGCATGGCCAGGCCACAGCAGCCTCTGCAGCTCCAGCCCGGGGAGCGGAAGGGCACTCGCCAGCTCCTCACCTCTTCTTGGGGTCGTACATGAAGAGGAAGTTGAGGAGACGCAGCCCGGCCTCCGAAAGCCACGGGAACTTGTGCTTGAGGTTGTTGTAGGGCTGCTTGCGCAGCGTGTACTGGCTCACCAGCGGCAGCTTGGAGAAGCCCTGGGGGCAGGGGAGAGTGGAGGGTGAGGGCCAGGACAGGAGGAGAGGGGCAGGGGGGGAACGCGGGGCTGGTGCTCACCGGCCAGATGTTCTCGTTGGGCGTGCCCAGCAGCTGCACGATCAGGTCGATCTGGTGGATCTCGGAGCTCCCCGGCAGCAGCGGCTTGTGGGCCAGCAGCTCTGCCAGGATGCAGCCCACAGCCCTGGGGAGGGAACGGGTGCATGGGCAAGTGGGGCACAGCCCTGCCACTAGCAAGACCTTGGCACAGATCCTGGTGACACGGAGCTGCTTTGACCCCCAGGGGTGCCTGCAGCTGGAGGGCAGCCCCATCCTCCCCTCCCCGATCAGGGCCTTGCTGCCCAACACGAGCCCCTCACCACATGTCAATGCTGGTGGTCTGGGTCGTTGTCCCCAGCAGCAGCTCCGGGGCGCGATACCTGGCAACGTGAGCAAAAGGAAGCACTGGTTCAGGGAAGGCAGGCCCTTCAAGAAGAGGTTGAGGGGTCGGGGGTGATCCAGGCACAGCGATGCCTGTGCTCTGCTATGGGGTTTCCCAGGCTGGCTGCCTCCTGCCCCTTTCTGCTCCATGGCTCGGGGTGTTTCAGCCTCCCTCCAAGGCGCTGGGTGCCGGCTGCATCCCAGGCTGGGCAGGGGGACTGGGCTGTGCCAATGCTGCTGGGACCAAAGCCAGAGGGTCCTGGCTAGAGGGTCTTGGCCCTCTGCCCAGGCTCAGACCAACATCATATTTGTAGGCAGGAAGAGAATTTCCCCCCTGCTCAGATTGGTGCAGACTGGGAGGGGGGTTGCCTTCCTCTGTAGCAGGGGCACGGCCCCTGCCTGGGATCTCTGGAGCATCCATTAACAACCTTTTCCAGCAGCAGGACATGGGCTGCCGTGCCCCCCACTGCTTTCCCTAAGGCAGGGTCAGGCGTGAGGTCTGGTGTTGAATCAGGGCTGACGGTTGTTTTGCTAAGCGGCGAGGAGGGGTTTGCCTGGGCTGGTTTGGGCAGGGCTGATCTGAATGGTTTTCCTGGAGGCAAGGGAGGCCTGCATGGATGTGTACAGCACAGGACCCGCGAGTCTCTGCCAGGGGCCTGGAACTGTGCAGGGAAATGCATAGTGCAAGGGCAGGGGCCTCAGGAGACGAGCTCAAGGGGCTACAGCTGTTGGCACTGCCCCGCTTCCCCCAGCCAGGCACAAAGGGACACGGCCCCTGCTCCATGCCGAGCGGAGGATACTCACCAGAGGGTGACGACCTTGGGGGTCATTGGCTTCAGCGGCACTCCGTAGGCACGAGCCAGCCCGAAATCCGCTGCCAGGGAGAGGACAGGCATGAGGTCGGGCACAGGCTGGCTCCTGCGTTACAGACCGGGCAGAGCACAGCTGCCCGTGGCCAGAGCCAGCAAGTGGGGCAACAGGCGGCAGCCAGGGGAGCTCACCCGTCTTCACACAGCCCTTGTCCGTCATGAGCAGGTTGGACACCTTCAGGTCCCTGCCGGCAGAGCAGAGAGGAGCCGTCACCAATGTCCGGCCCTGCGAGGTGCACCCCAGCACCCAGTGGTCCTTGTATGGCTCATCCTTACCCGCAACCCAGGGGGCAGCTCTAGGGCCCACTGCCCACTCCAGGACCCCTTGTCCTGCCCGCAGTGCCTGCCCTTGCCTCCTTACCGGTGGATGATGAAGTTCTCGTGGAGATACTGGAGCCCCCTGAGGACCTGCAGGATGATGCACTTCACCTGTGGGCAGGGGCACAAGCAGTCTCCTTAGCCACCAACAGCAGTATGCGAGGTTTCCACACCAGCCCCGCGGCCACGTTCAGCAGCCCGGCCAATGCCTGCGGACACCCGGTGCAGGGCTGGACAAGGCCTGGCTTGCGTCTCGGAGCCCAAGATCCAGAGCATCCCAATGAGGTGAGCAGGGCTCGGCGCAGGCAGTGGGCGAGGCTCGGGATCCCAGTGGGCTGAGGAAGCCCCCGGGTAACGGCTCCGTCCTGCACAGGGCAGGGGGCAGCTCACGTGCCCCGACTGGGTCATGTTCACTGGCTGACCCTTCCCTTTGCCTGTCCCCACCCGTCTCGATGCCACAGTGAGACACGGGGAGCCCTTCCGTAGCCCACGGAGCTCCGCCATTACCGGAGATGTTGTGCAGCCAGCCCCACGAAAGGACTAGGGAAGCTCATGCACCCAAACAGGCCAGGCCCGGCTAAAACCCACTCAAAGAAAACCCGAAACATTTTGCAAATTGTAGCTTGGGGTCTCACTGGATCATCGCACACGCACGCCAGGGGCTAGTCGCAGCACCCACTGCTGGTTGGTGCGGGCCCGTACCTGAGCCTCCGAAAAGGGCGTCTGCATGTTCTCGAGGAGGCTGGCGAGGTCCTGCTCGCAGTAACCCATCACTAGGAAGATGCTGCCGGGGAGACGCAGGGTCAATCGCCCACAGGGACAGCGGCGAGGTCAGCACCCCCCACCCCTGCCCTATCCTGACCAGCACCGCTCCTAGGAGCCAGCCTGCGCGCTGGGCAGACTCCAGGGCACCGTTACCTCTCCAGGTGGTTCCCCACCACCACCTCCTTCAGCTCCACGATGTTGGGGTGCCGCAGCCTCAGCAGCAGGGTGATCTCCCGCAGGCTGCTGATGGGAATGCCTGCAGAGAGCGGGACCCATGTTGTGTGTGCCATGCCTACCCCCGCCCTGGGGTCTGCAACATGCCAACCCCACAGCCCTTCCATGCATCGTCCCCTTACCGTCCTTCTCCTTGTCCATCCGCACCTTCTTCAGCGCCACGATCTCGTCTGTTCTGGTATCTCTGGCACGGTCTGAAACAGAGACGTGTAACGGGGCCTGGACCACTCGGGGCCAAGGCAGCGCCTGCTCCGTTACCGACCAAGTGACCCGTGAACCCTCCCCTTGCAGCCACGGGGCGGGAGGTGGCGAGAGCTCACGTCTACCGGGGTCCCAACAGGATCTGGGTGCGCTCCCTTCCCTTGGTGCACAGAACCCAGGTTCCCGCGTCTTTCCTGGGCGTTTCGGGGGCACGGGCAGGGCCCGGCGGCAGGCACCGGCACCAGGCGCACAACCCGCTCACTGCATTTGGGGTTGGGAAGGAACTTCCCCCACGGCCACGCTGGTCTGGACGGCGGGGTTCTGCCTTCCTCCGCGGCCTCTGCCTGCAATCGCCGAGTATCTAACACCCCGCGCGGCAGCAGGACGCTGACGGCGCCCAAATCCCCCGCTTGCCCCGCAACGGGTTCAGGGGCTCTCGATGCCGGCGCGCTTGGTCATCGCAAGAAGGGGCCGAGGAAGAGGTGAGGAGCAGCCGGCCCGGGCCCGGGCGTCCCACCG